AGCCAAAAATGGTGAAATTTTGGCTCCATCGGAGATAATGGAAAACAATTGGAGCTTTAAAATTAAATCTTAAAGATTGTCGGAACTCAACTTGCCACACTGCTAGTGGGCCTTAATAAGTCTACAGATGGCATCTCCAAGGAGGCTATGTAAGTATGTATGTATTGTCTAGTGGCTAGTTGTACTCATGACAAGTGTTTTTAATAAAGGAGATCTTCCCTTGTAAAAACAAATCTAATTCTGCAAAGTCTGGAAGAGTGTTTGCCAGCATAAGTTATTGCAATCCACTTTGCATCCAAGCATCTTGTTTTATCTTTGCAGCCAATTGGAAATGTTGCAGAAAGGTTTCTTGCTTTATGTCTCAAGGATAGTGGCGTGTTATATGAAGATCCTTATATTCAGGTAAAAAATAAGTGAATTGTATTTGCAAATGTTTACCATTAATGTTATGTGCTAATCTGCTCCCTTGTTTATTTTCTTTTAGATTGGCATAAAAGCTGAGTGGCGGCTGCATCATGGTCGGCTTGTCCTCTTTTTGGGGAATAAGAATACTGCTCCACTTGCATCAGTCCAAGCAGTAATATTGCCTCCATCGCATCTAAGAATGGAACTGTCGTTAGTACCAGAAACTATTCCTCCACGTGCACAGGTTATATTCCCTTTTCTGGTTAATTTTGCTATTAGACATTCTGCATTTTCTTCTTTGCGATCTTTGTTTGGAAATTGGAAGACATTGTGCCTTTCTCTTCCTTGTGATCTTTGTTAAAGTATACCCTTACCTCAAGATTGCTGTACACTTGACCAGGTTCAATGTCCGCTTGAAGTGGTCAACCTGCGTCCAAGTAGGGATGTAGCTGTTCTTGACTTTTCATACAAGTTTGGGACCCATATGGTATTTTTCTTACCTAAAGTTTGCAATAAACTGTGTTACTAATTAATGGCTAACAATATGTATTCCTGCTGCACATTGGAAGGTCAATATTAAACTTCGGCTTCCTGCCGTCTTGAATAAGTTTCTTCAGCCTATATCCATTTCTGCTGAAGAATTTTTTCCACAGTGGAGATCACTCTCTGGACCACCATTGAAGCTCCAAGAAGTGGTTTGTGCTTTTAAAACACAGATTTATGCTCTTTTTATAGGCATCAGCTATATACCATAAGGAAACACATAAATCTGACCATGTTTAGCTATGTAATTGATCAGGTTAGAGGTGTAAGACCAATGCCTCTCATTGAAATGGCAAACCTATTCAACAGTTACCGGTTGATGGTGTGTCCCGGACTAGTGAGTGAACATTTAAAATGATCCTGATTTTTTATATTTCAATATTATACATTTATACCGATATAGACATCATTGACAAACCGTTCATTTGCACTCTGATTCTTAATTATTCAGGATCCTAATACAAATAATCTGATTGCTAGCACAACCTTTTTTTCAGAGAGTACACGGGCCATGTTGTGTTTGGTAAGCATTACAAAGTTTCTTTTTTTATTTCCTCAACAGATTCATTAACAATAATTCTAGAAATGGATACTAAATCCATCCATCTTATTTACTCTTGTGTAGAGATGATTGAACAGTGTTAATAGATAATATTGGTAGTACTTTAGCACATGTATTGTAAATTTTACTCCTATGACAGTTGATGGATTGTAGATATACCGATGACGATATTGTCATGCAGATTATAATACTCACTTTTAATCAACAGAAAAATAAAGCATGAGTCTATGTGAAAACTTCCAATTGATTGTTATAAAAAAAACTTCCGATTGATTGCCGAGGTTCTTTTTTATAGAAATTGTGATCCAATTGATTGACAAAACCCTCACTTTTACTGCTAGTGCATTCAAACTTTTTGTTCATAAGATTCATCTACAACTATTGTACACAGGTAAGAATAGAAACGGATCCGGCTGATAGAACTCAGCTGCGTATGACAGTTGCCTCAGGAGATCCAACTGTAACTTTCGAGTACGTCCAATTTATTCCAGATATACTCTGTCCTATAAGATAGGAATAGCTTGTGTTTTCAATTTCCCCCCTCAACATGTCCATCAAAATTTAACATTGAATCATCAATCATCGTCCTCCTCCGTATAGGTTGAAGGAGTTCATCAAGGAACAATTAGTTGTGGTCCCCACAGCAGCTCCGAGGCCTGCCGTTGTGGAAGCGCCTCTACAACAACCTCCTACTCCACCGGCTGCTGCCGCCTCAACGGATCCTGGGGCTCTGCTTGCTGCTTTGCTCTGAGACAATTGGTCTTATTGAACTCCTCATGGGGCACAACTAACGCTTTGTAAAACTTGTTTATATATAATATGTCAAGCTTGCACCCTCATGCGTCCTATAAAAGGTAAAAAAAATGTACGTGGGGGCAATCTTCAACGACAAAATGCAAGGGCTGGCGAGAGGAATTGGGAAGCATGGCAGAGCACAGGAATGGTCTGGTAGGCGCTTTTTCGCGCTTCATTTATACATTTTTTTGAGGGGTTAGATTTGTAGGACGGCTGTGGGCTTGGGAAGGGTTAGAGTATTTTGCTTTTTTTTTTTTGAGTTTTAGGGTATTTTACATATATATATTTTTTTCTTTGGATTTACTACTTCAGTGGTTTTACACGACTGGCTTCTCTGCTTGTGTAGCATGGCGGATTGATTGTAACTATTGCATTGGTTTGTCCATATCATATTATTGTATTTTAGGCTTATTATTGGTTCCGTAATTTTGTTTGGTACAAAAATCATGGAAAAAAATGCCATACTTTGGAGTTTGGATTAGAATAAATTTGAAAGTATTCCCATTCTTCTTGTGGGAATCACTCTGCGTGAATGTGGTTGGTCCGGTTTTAGATTGGTCGGTTCTGATCCCCTATTTGTGAGAACCGTATACATAACCGTTATGGTTTCGGCCCCGGTTCTTTGTCTCCTGGCCAACAGTTTTGAATCGCGGTCTTTGTCTGATTCGAGCGGAGTTGATTTGGTTTATTGTCAGTTATTGGTTTCTCTGAATGTGAATACTTCATGCTCGGAATTAAATCTCAGTTTGAATTTATCAAGTTTATGAAATATGCTGAATACCGAAATATATTATTGAAATATGTTTTGATGTGAAATTAAAATAGTGTGAATAGAGGTCTTGAATAGAGGATGGCAATAATGTATCATGTATGATAGCAAATCATATTCTTCAAAATTGTCCCAAGTCATCCCAAGGCTGATTTATATTCATTCTTCCAAATTAAGTTGCTTGTTTGTTATTCAGTGGGTTAAATTTTATTTATGTTCTTTACATATTTTCATTACTTATTTGATAAAGAGTAAATTACCACAACGGTTCTTTTTAATAAGGTACTTTTCCAAATTAATCCTCAATAAATAATACTCCATCCGTCCCGCTATATTCGTCCATTTTTTACTTTTGGAACTGTTCATCTAAGCATTTTGACTCATCAAATTCTTTTAATGTGTAAGCCTATATATAGTCATGTGTGATCTTGTTTGATTTGTCTTAACATATAGATTATTAATATATAATTTCTATAATTTTTTAATATACAAATTATAAGATAAAATGAATTAAAGAAGTGTATTGGATAGTGTACAAAAATGAAAGTTGACAAATACTCTAGGACAGAGGGAGTAATTATCAATGCAGTCTTTTGTAATTGAGATATATTTACTAAATAGTTCTCCTAAATGACAATTAAATGGAAGGTATTTTGGTATTTTTTATCATCTAAACTATGAATAAAATTCTCAAAATAGTCTTTTTAAATTAAGTAGTTGGCTGCTAGAGGAACGAACTCACTGCGGATAGGCTCATTGACTCTAATTCAGGAAAATATTTATTTAGAAATTATCAGTTTGGAAATATACTTAATAATAAAGAAACATTTTGTGAATATATTTTAAGTCTTGATAATAAAGAATAACAAAATACCTTATATTTGACTGACATTTAATGGACATTTTCAACAGAACACTATTTAGAAAATACATCTAAATTACAAAGGACTACACTGATAATTATTGCTTATTGAAGACTAATTTAGAAAAGTACCTCAATAGAAAAGACCATTTTGGGAATTTACTCTTTGATAAAGTAGTATAATCAAATCACCTCTTGTTTCGTATAGTTTTTTTTAAATTTTTTATGAAATAATATGTAAATTTTATTTTTAATTCCACTTTAATTCTTAAACGGATTTGAATTGTTAATAACTTCAGTTAGATATCATAAACCAAAACAACGAAGGTAATATAAAAAATTTTAAGACATAAAATAATATGGAGTAATCGTTTAGGCAATTTTATCATTAAAGTAATCGACTACTACTCGAAGATAATCAATTACTCATATGGTTAAACCTATCAAAAATTAATTTCGAAACTGTTGGTAAACAGTTAACTCTAATTAACTCTAAGACTATTTGATTACTCAAAATTAAAACAATCACCTACTCAATTTGAATGAAGAACATGTTCTCAGATTTGAAGAAAATTTCTTACTCACTTGACTTGTTGGTTATCGTAAGTAAAAAAGTCAATTTAATAAAGAACGAACGACTCTAAAACTTTGTTTTGGAAAACCTTTAAGAAGTAAACTCCTTTTGAAAGAGAAGAATTTGAATGTTGGTCTTTCCCATACTCTTTATTAATAGATCTAAGCCTTATAGCATTAACAATAGAACGGATTCTCGCCACACGTCAAAAATAACCTAGAAAGTGAAAAAAATTTAGATGTGGTGCGGCAGGTTTTCCCCCTCCCATCAAATGCTCTTAAAAACCTAAAGATACCAAACTTAAAATTTTTCAACCTTCTAATCTTGTTCACATTTCAAAGTCTCTTTTAATTGGCATTGTTTTTAGGATCTATCTTTTCTTAAACATTTGACATTATATGAACTTTTTTTATCAATTCTAAATAATCCACTTCTTACCACTCAAACTAGTAAAGAAGTTCAATCAATTTTACAATTAACTATTGTTATTCGAAAAATGTATGGAGTTTTTAGATACTAAATACTAGGGTACATCTTAATAATAAAATATACTAAATTCTATTTAAAATTAAAACAAATTATTAACAATGTGAGAAAATCTAAAAAAAAAATATGAATACATCCATTAGACCATTACTCCAATTGGAGCCGTCAGACTCTCCGACCTCCGTCCGTTTGTAATTTCCGGTAAGCTTCTCATCTCGGCCAACCCTTTCTTTAACCGTTCCTCTCAACAGACCTAATTGCTTGTGATATTACTCGCATATTTTCGGTTTAGAAATCACATTACTCCGTATGTATTTTCATTCTCTTGAAGGTGAACATGAACCTAAGGAATTTAAACCTGCATTTCGTCTATCTTCTTATATTGTTGGATTTGGCATGTGATCAAAAGTACTTTTGAATGTAATTATTATGAATTGGAGTGATATGCTAGTTTGCTGATTTGAAAGAATCTAATTTGAAACCCCTAGAAGGAATAATCCGGCCTGAATCACACCAGTTGTGCCAGAGGAGGAGAGTTTATGAGCTCGGAAAAAGAACCACCGCGGCGGCGGCTGTCGTGCTCGGCCTGTTTTGACGCCCTCTGGTTCTGCTACAGTATGTCATTTCCTTTCTTCGATTTCTGATATTCGTCTTCATACTTAACAGGGTGTGCTCTGTCAGTTATTGTTTGCTTTGTGGGTAACAAAATTAGGGTTCTTGAAGGAGTGAAATAAGTAGGAAAATGGTTCAAAATCATGTAGTAGGTAAATGGAAGGAATGCATGCTTGCAAGATTTTCTTTCTGTTTGGAGACTTAAACACAATCACGTTTTGATAAGAGTGTATGGAAATTGAAGGAATGCATGTTTGCAAGATTTTCTTTTTGTTTGGAGACCTTAACGATCACATGATGATGAGATTTGATATTTCAATTACGTTGTGATTAGTGTTGATGAGATTTGATATCTTAAGATGCTAATTTTACGCATGATGAATTTTTAACTTCTCTGACTGTGAATTATGTTTGTGGCAGCACCTGTTCATCAAATGCAGCAGTACTATAGGCTGGGTAAGCTTGATAACTGTTATGATAAATGGAGTGCTCTTTATGATTGTCTGAGACTTAAAACAAAGCGGCAAGCTGAAGTTGAGGTAAGCTTTCAAGCTTAAGATGCCTTGTAATTTTTGGTTATGTTCTATTTCACTCTTTTTACTTTCTACGGCTCTTATATTGAACTATAAACCAGAATGTGCTGGACTAAAAGTTGCTGCGGCTTCAGACAATTGAATAAGTAGTTTAGCAAATTTATGGTTGTAAAGCATGGTTTAAAAAAGCGCTTTTGAGGCGCATTGAGGCTTGCATCAATGTGAGGCGTTCAGGACGGGTATCAAGGCTTAACCCCTGCTTGCATGATAAGAGGCTTACGCCCCTATTGAATCAACACGTATGCCTTGAGACTCACCTCAAGGCATTTTTTGAGGCAAGAGATTTTTGTTTTGTTTTTTAGTCCATATATTCTTTCTAAGCTCTATAGGGTTAAATATGATTATAGAGCTATAAGATATGGAGATTTTTCCAAAGGCCCTACAAGTCATGATGATTCTAAATAGACTTCTGCATTTCCATATTGTGTTGATCACTTGATTGTGTGTTTGTAATGTGTTTGTGCATTTGAAGATCGATCTTAAACTATGGTGTCTGATCATGTCTTGTGTTTGACCATTTCTGATCATTATCTGCAAATCTTTAATTGGTACTTCATACTTTGTGGTAGTAGGTAACATATTAAAGTTGTAATATGTTGGTATTTTGTTTTGAGGCTTATGCTTCAAAGCTCTTAAAGGCTTATCCTGAGAGTACCATATCATTAGTCTGGATTATGTTTACCAGTAGCGGTTTGAACTTATCTGAACATGTTTATTAATAGTAAAAAACATATAAGAGTATGTGATATCATCTCTCCTTTCTCTTGTATTTCTTGAAACAGGAAATTTTGGAAAAGCGTGAGAAAACCAAACCTCACATATGGTCTTTTCGGACACCAGAAGAAGCTTCCTCTTATTGGCAGAACCTTTACGGGCATATGCATGAAGACGAGTGAAATACACAAGTTGGCCATTTCTTGGTTTTTCATTTACCATTCTGAGCTCAAATAATCATGGTAGCTGTTAACTGAAATGCAACCCGCGGGCAAGATGCAGTTAATGCTCAGTGTCTGGTAAGCGTTAACCATGTCATCTGAATTTGTATTTGAATAATGCGAATTTGAATTATCATATTCGAATACGAATCACAATCGAATTTAAAACATTTGATTTGTTTACATCCCTAGGTTGAGGTGAGTGTTTTGGTTTGTGAAAGTTCTAATGCTTTTTTGAACAAAAAATTGTTTTAGAGTATTAAACATTGCTTGTGTTGCTGCATTCAGTGAACTCCTATAATGAACACAATCTGTCCAGTGCCTGTTTGATGGAACTTTTTTTTCTTATTAGTCGAATCTGATAAATTTGATACAAAAAAGCACTCCGTCCGCCCTAAAAAAACACCTAGTAGTCCTTTTCGAAGTTTTTCTCCGTCCTAAAAGAGTCAAATTGGTTTCAACAAAAGCTAACTTTCAGTATGTGCAGTATTGTTTGGATTAAAAAAAGTATGTCAATCAAGTTAAATATTTTAACTTAGTCAAATCAACAAAGAAAACAAAAAAAACCACAATTGATTATTTCAACTACCATACTTTACTAAAGTTAAATAGTCGTACCTTAATAAATAAGGATTTTTTATGAGACAGAGAGAGTACAATATAACTTACTAGCTAGGCGGCATTAAGTAAGTCTGGTTCTTTAAAAAGAACATAGCAGTATGTTTCCTTACAAGAACAAAAAGATGTTTACAACTATTATTATTTCAGACATTATAACCTTCTTAGCACATCAGTTAAGCTTCTAGTTAATGATGAAATCCTGACAGTAATCACACATTAGCTAAAAAATGTATAGGTTTTAGCATCAAGAATGATCTGTCTCACTGCAGCAACTGCTGCAATGACTCCCAAGATGGAAAACACCACTGCTATTCCCACATTTACCCAGAAAATGACACTCTTCTTTGAAGGTTTGAATGTCAGGTTGAAGAAAACAACCGGCAACACAAAATCCAGCGGCATGAATCCGATTGCACCAATGAGAGCAGCCATGTCTCCATAAAACGGCAGTGTGGCTGCTATTGCAGTGGCAACTATGACTGACAAGGATCTTGTTATTACCCTCGGGATCAAATTCCTTGCCGAAAATTCTTTGCTCTTAGGATCCCCGAACGCCCTTTCTAACATCTCGTTTGTTGGTTGCAAGTAGACCTGTCATAGAAAGTACAATTACATGTTTGATGAGTTAAAATGACAATACAGAGTTATTCTAGTCTCCATCTCTTAGGAAATGGAGAGTTATTCTTACCACAGCCACACTACAGAGTTGCACGAGGACCAACAAGTTGGAGGTTAGGATGAAGGCTTTGGGGACTAAATTTTTCCCATTGTGTGTAAAGTTGTTGAGGATGATTTCCTGGGACTTGTTCCCAAATGCCCAATAGCCAGAAAGTGTCACACTGAAGAATGTTGTTGTCACTACTGAGTAACAAATACAAAGCCCTTTGAACATCTTCCCTTTCACAGGTGGAGCCAATGTTGCCTATACTAATCCAATATAGCATAATTAGTGATCACAATTAGAACAAAATTTTGGCCAAAATTTTGACCATAATGTCAACGTCATTGGGGGGTTTTTAGGGAGGCAACAACCACTTTGGAGTTGAATGGTGCATCAAAGGATGTTCAAATTGACCAATGTGATATTATGACATTGGTGGCCACTGTCAAAATAACCGCGTGGGCATTTCTAATACACCTGAATCTCGGGAATGATGCCGTTCCCGAACGTTGTGGCGATGATACCCACCGCACTGAAAACTCCAAAAACACGTGTTTCGTTATCGCTGCTTAGGCTGTAATCCCTCTTTTGCCCTTTTGATGATAGCCCTATTGCAAAATACCGAAACCATAGCGTGTTACATTTATTAATAAAATCGTAGGATTATTTTTTTGGACCAATATTTAACCGAATTGAACTGAAAATGAGTGAATTGAAGCAGACACACCAATGTAGATTGAGCCAACTGTGGCACATGCACTGTAGCAGAGGGTGAGCAACAAAGAGAGGAAGTTGATGTGCCTTAGAGAGTGAAATGATGGGAATTGGCCCAAAATCAAAGATGCCACCCCAACAATGTTCACAAATTCATACAGTTTCATGCCCCCTTTTGGATTTGACATCATGTAAGTTGTCTGCATTAAGTATAACTCTCTCAAGCAACCAACTCAATAGAAAAATTCAAAGTTATATATAGTTGGGAGACATAAGAATACTTTCATTTTCTAACCACTAATTATGAACAATGAAAAAAAAAAGAATGAGTCAAGTGCAAATCTTCTTCCTCTAAATCCTCATTTGATATATAGAAAGTTTTTTCAAAACGTTATGCTAAATACTGAAATTGTTGTCAAACGAGCAATAAAAGAGTCGACCATTTGTTTCTTTAAATAAATCTAAAGCATTTAATTTGTTTGCAATACATTATTTCATTAATAAAACATGGAAATTAATACGTCAAAACTAACATCATTTCTTCAAACAATCTCTTTTGGGAGAAAAAAAAAATGTTGCAAAACACTAAAAGCGTGGTTGTCCCTTCATTTTACGAACCTTAAGGCACTGTCCTCCGAGCAAAATAGAGCCGATGACTGCACCGTAGCACACTAACAATTGAATTGGGCCAACAAAGTATTTGCCCCATTTTGCCCCTGTCCAAATACTTTCTCTAAGTACTCTAATATTTTTTGTTCAAAAAAAAGTACTGTAATATACTCCGTATATTCATTTGATAATTTTAAAAAAAAAATATAAGCCATTACTTATTTCGTAAAATTTTTGATATATTTTTTAAATCATGCACGGAGTAACTTTTTATATTTAAATTGTGGATTTATTTTCAAAGATATTGAATTAAAATAACTTCCGTCAAGCATGGGTAAATCGAAATAGGTCTGGAAAAATACTGAACTAAAGCTATAACATTTTCATTTATCAAAAATAAGCCTTTGAATGATTTTATATCAAAACAAGAGTTTTAATACCAAGTATTGTCAAAAGCAAGTGCGGTAAAATATCAACTCACAATGTCAAATTGTAATGTCAACATTTCGGGCTTTGTGTTAAACGGGCCGGGTTTGACCGGAGAGGGAGGACCGAAAGATTACCTGAGATAAGGGTGGCCATGTCACGGTAGCGGAGGAGGCGGCGGCCGTGATGAGCATTGTGTTCGAGAACAAGTGACATTAGGTTGTAGGAGTAAAAGGTGACGACGGCGCCGGCGACCAGACAGACGATTCCGGCCACCCATCCCAACATTGCAAATGCAAATGGTAGACTCAGCAACGGCGGCGCCACTATCGATGTTGTCAAGTGGTACCCGCAGTGCCACCATGATCCTGCCGGAACATCCCAACAAAATGTACCGTAGTTTCAACAAAATGTAAATATAATTAATTACGGAGTAATTAATTAATTAGTTAATTAAAAGACAATTTAAAGACATTAATGCCCTGTTTCTTTTGATCGTTAACTCTTAACCCTTCCAACATTTCTAACTCCTCCTAATTTCTTCCAACTTCTTCCATTTTTTTAAAAGTCTTTCCAGTTTTTTTCGACTCCTAGTTTCTTCCAACCCCTTTACTTTCAATTTTATTCCAAATCTTTTCACTTTTTTCAATTCCTTCCAATTTCTTCCAATATCTTCCAGCAACAACTTTAAATTATTATTATTATTATCTCAATAAAATAAAAAATTGATTTAGTGTCACAGTTTTTAAAAAAATGTGTCATGCATATGAATTTTAGTTACCATTCTAGAGTCGGGTGAATTATTAAAAAATTAAATTAATTAATTTATTATTTCCTGCGTGATTTTGAAATTTTCGTTAACTATGTTTCTTTGAAACGACGTGCTCTAGTCAATATTTTAAAATTTGGACAAAAATAATTGTGCAATCTATTTCTTTAATTAAGTATTACATAAATTTTAAATTTGCATACACCTTTAATTTTTATAATGTGCATGTTCTAAGCATATGCAAAAAAAACAAATGTTCTTACATCAATTTAATACGCCAAAGTATAATTGTGTAAAATTAATATTTTTTATTTTATAGATGTGCATATGTCGGATTAAATAAAAAGAAGCTAAAAAAAGTAAAAAAATTGTTTTAATATTCTTGAGATATACGAAAAACAAAATACTGAAAATTTTTACATGAATGAATTGATGCCTTTTATAAATGCCACTTTTTTTAATTATCTAGGGGTACACCAACATTTGGTACTCCATTTGTATACTAAGTTAACACAGACACACACAAACACATAATGTCTGTGCACAGACATTTTGTGTCTGTGTGTGTCAGTATTAGCCTAGTGTACAAATGGGGTACCCCATATTGGTGTACCCCTAGCATTTCCCTCATTAAAGAATATGAAATTTTTGGAAATAAAAATAACTCATTAGTGTATTTGGCTTATCTAAATTATTTTTTGGATAATTAGATAAACAAATATAAATAATGTTTAAATAGTAATTTCTAATGCAAAATTAAGAATGTTAGTCTCGAGTCATTTTTGTAATTATTTTGATATTTAAAATATGATGTAAGGTTATTTTTGTTTGGCCGAGACATCGTTATATTATTTAAGTCCAATAATTTTTCTTTTAACTAAGTTTAATAAAAAGTATTGCTTCATTTTTCTTCTTATTCTTGTTACATGACTTAGTGACATAAAATTGATAAAACAAAAAATCATATGATTGATATTAATTCTAAAAAGTAAAAAAATAGTGCGAGTCATAAAAAATACAAATACGATTTGGGATAAAATACAATGGCATTAAAGAAAATGCAAAGTGATGAAAATTTAAATAAGTAGAGTATATATTTTTTGAATAAAATATGAAATTTATAAAATAAAATAATTATTTTAACATTTTTTTATTTTCTTAAAACACTTTCAAAAACTTTTTTAACTCTTTCTAGTTTCTTCCACCTTCTTCTATTTTTTCCAACTTTTTCCCGTTCATTACAACTCCTTCGAGTTTTTTTCTAACTTTTTCTAGTAATTTTTTTCAACTTCTTCTAAT